AAACTTAACCTTATATAGTAGGAATTAGCAAAACTATTATGTCAAATAGGTAACTTCTCAATATACTGCCATTACTGTAGAATATTACCGTGTTACCTTGTAGAACTAAGTTCATACAAGGCAGTTAGACAGAAACAAAAAACCCTATAATGTCCAATTTCCAATAATATATAAAACCACAGATTAAAACAATTCACAGCCAGCAGCACATTGGCATAGCTAAAGAATTAAAAACTATATTCTCCACAGATCATTAAATAGTTTAACATTCAGCCCAGCATATCAACTAAAAGCAGCCCCAAATGGTTGGATTTTTGAGGCCCATTTTAAAAAGCATGAACTAATGGAGCCAAGAAGCACATATTCCATAGGTATGAGGTCACCACTGAAAAGATTCTGTCTCTTATGCCCTTCAGTCTAATTTATCTGAAATATTGGGTCATGAGCAGTGGCTGTCAGTTGTACCCCTGACCATGTAACCCATACCTTGAGCAATCTCTCCCACTATAGTCTTTTATCAGCAGGAAATTGCTTTAGCATTAGGGGGCTGAGGCCATTCCCAGTTAGCATTATTTATCTCCTTGCATCTTTACACCTTAAGAACACCCCTTGAATGGGTAATCTGCACTGCAAAAAATAGAACTGGATCAGGAACATTTTGAACTTATGTCGAAAAAAAGGCTATTTTCTACCTGTTGCCCGCATGAATAGCTTGTGTGGCTGACTCTCATACCCACGAGATGTGTGCAGAGCAATCCAATCTGGATTGATTAACTTCGCTCTATAAAACAAAGTATCAAAACATTAAAAAGTAGACTATTCACACTGCTAATTGCTTCAGCTTAACAAATGCAGATGACACACATAGAATCATCATGAAGAAACTGCTTCAGTTTCAATTATAATTAAGCACTTATCAGCAATAAAGAGAACTGAAAATATTTTATCTTTTCACATACAGGCTACGTTTGTGCACCACAGAAAACCATAGTTAATGTGTGTTGATGGCTCCAATTTCACTCCCCACCCTCCCCGTGTGAGCAGCAACAACTACAAAACGTGCCTCAGTGTTTGGACGCGTGTTCAACTGACGCACAATCGCACATGCGTGCATCGTGTGACTTTAAAAATGGCAAAAATAGCCCAGAAAGGGCAAAAAGTACAAAAACAACACCTAGCAATCCCATGAGCCTTTGCAGGTGCAATTCCAGGAGAGCTTGCACTGACCTTTGAGGCCTGTGGAACATCTGAGTTTGAGAAAGAGGTTTGGAGGGAGTGACCGTGGTGGAGTTTGGCGCCTGGTAAGTGCTGCTGGTATTTTAAAGAGTTTTTTCAGGGAGTTTCAGAGGTTTAGAGGTTGTCTGCAGACTTTTACAATGGCGTTTCAAATATACATGATTTCACGTAAACACGTGCTGCCTTGGAATGTAACCCTTGCGTAAATTGGGAGTTGCCTGTACATAGAAACTTTGTTGTTGTTTAGTTGTTTAGTTGTGTCCGACTCCTTGTGATCCCATGGACCAGAGCACACCAGGCACTCCTGTCTTCCATTGCCTCCCGCAGTTTGGTCAAACTCACGTTAGTAGCTTCAAGAACACTGTCCAACCATCTCGTCCTCTGTCGTCCCCTTCTCCTTGTGCCCTCCATCTTTCCCAACAGCAGGGTATTTTCCAAGGAGTCTTCTCTTCTCTTCTCTTCTCATGAGGTAGGCATAGAAACTTAGCCAACTACAACCCCCCTTTTATCCACCAAATAATCAGGAGAGACAGAGCTGTCTCATCTGTGATTGTTTACCACACAGGTAAGCACTCCCACGTGCTGCTTATGTGTACACAGTCATAAGTGCGTCATCGCCACACTTATTGTGAATGAGGAATGCTGTAGGTGTGCATCAGAATTCCTATACATGGATCAGCCTGCATTTTTTTATTTCTTCTAGCAAACAAAATGCATTTAAAATAATGCTCACATATTTAACTTACACATAAGCACACAGAAGACTGTGATAAGCAGTAAGAGGTGGATAGTCAAGACCCCAGTATTGCAAATTATTGTCACTGGTGTTGAAGTACCTGAAAAAGAAAAGGAAACCCTGAAATAAATATGTCTTCAGAATGCAGCTCACACAGAATGCAGATCTTCCTCCTTCCCTTTCCCCCTTGCAGCAAGATCCCCCTGCTCAGTGCTGTCCAATTCCCCACTTGCACTGCAGCCCAGTAAACCACAGTCCTTACTGTTCAGAAGTGTCCTAAACCCTATAGGGAGGGGTTGCAAGGGATGCAGAGCACTTCCAGGGGGGAAGAGAGGACAAGACAGATTGGTTATACATGTTGCATTCCACCCAGGCAGCATTCTACTAGCACAACCAATGGATGATACAACCCAGGGTCATGTTGGTTTTCTACGAAGCTGAACAACTTCAGTATAATAGTAAAAAAAACAAAATTAAAATATGGCTCTTACTGCATTTTTGTTGTAGATTCTTTTTTAAAATAAAACAAAGCCTTGCCTGAGTTTTTGGATGCAGTTGTTGATGTTTGTGTTATGGCAGAATACAAGACATAAAGAATCTGAAGGATATAAAATTTGTGCCTGTAACCAGCTGATACTGTTCTGGGAAATACATTTTCATTTCTAGGAAACAAAGCTAGAATAATTCAAAAATCTACTGGGCTATGAAAGGTAATTATTGCTCCAATTGCCATGATTCACAAAGATCTGAGTCATCAGTGCCAATTAATTTCACTTTTTTCAATATATGTGAGCAGCTCCAAAAATACAAGGCCCTATTCCAGTCAGACCTACATTCATTGGACACTTTCCCCCAACCTGACCAGCCTTTCTCCTGAAACCTTCTGTAATCACCTTCAGCTGAAGGTATGTACCCAAGGACCCTCCTCTAACTAAAATCCATAGCTTTGACAAGAATGGGTGTTTTCTGAAGTGTCAACAGGACAACTTAAAGTATTAAAGAAATACAGAGTTGCATATAAAAATGTTACAGTAATACAAAGTCACTAATATAGTTACTGACACACTCTCCCTCTAAGGCTCCGGATTCTAACCCAGGGTTCAAACAAACTCTCAGCTCACCCACAAAAGTGGTTAGAGCATTACAGCCTTCAAGGTTTTGCAGTCTTAAGCACAATTTTATCTAAGGGATTCTAAGATCCAACACTAGTTCTCCAAAGTCACAAAACCCAAACATCTGAGCTAAAAGAATGATTGGCCATTCTTGTGAGCTAACAAACTACTGAACCTGAGCTGCTCCATATCAACAGTATCCAAATAGTACTGCTGGCTTTCACAAGAATTAGGAGGTGCTAAAAACTAAACTCTACTTAATTACAACAGTACCAAGTTGTCAGCACAATAGATGACAAAGGTCATGAGCCTGTTCAGATACCAATAACAACAAATTCAACAGGCCCTCTAAACTAGCCCAAGAAAGTAACCTCTAGAGGACAATAAGAAAGCGCAAAGATAAAGGAATTTCATTCATACGACTTTTCTGTACTTATGTTTCTGTGGAGAGCAGTCAGAATTTAGCCACATCTTCAGGTTGAAAGGCAGAATTTTATTCAATGAAAATAAGTGTTACAAAAATAAGACATCAGAACCTTTAAATCTCAGTGAAACAGAGTGACTAGTATTTTATAATTGCCAAGGGGCAAGTTCTTAGCTTTCCCAGTCTATCCACTCAAATGCAGCCAATTTTTGACATTTATTACAATAAATGATATTTCTTGAATACCTTATGAGCAGCCTGAAGTATCTTATGAACAATTCATGATAAATCATATTTCTTAAAGCTGCATCTCTGCCCCTTATCCCACCATTTAAAATTTCTCATGCCAGGATAGTTTTAACTCCTTCATTTGGATATTGATGTCTTGCGATTTACTAGTAAATATCTCATTCAATTCCATGCTCTTATTTGAACTTAGATTCCAAAGAAAAAGTTTGTGTATAGGTGTGAAAAAAAGGTAAGAACTGTCACATTTCTAACATGCAATACAAGAAGAAAAAGATGCTGTCAAGATTGTCTTTGATAAATATGCATGGGCTCCAAAGAAAGATAGAGAAGGCAGAAATATTTAAATTTGTGCCTCTGGCTCAGAAAAACTACATACAGGAAAACTACATACAAATCACATTTCTCATTTACTGCCTACCTTTTTTTAATATACTTTTTTTCCAGAACAAAGGAAGTGAACATGGAGTACATGATAATACCATTTGAGCATACCTGAATAATAATAGTAATCATTGCCTTTTCAAAGGCAAAGACTTTAGGAGGCAAACGTTCAAAAGATGCCACCTTGCACCCAGTACAGGGGATCACAAATTTGTTTGTTACCAAACAATGAAATCTCATCCCATTACACTGCTCACACTGTTATACTATACAGCAATACATGCAGAACAAATTGTAAGTTTCCAAATTTAAACTAGTAGCATGTATTGGCTAATTGTAGTGCAGTATTTGGTTTTGATGGCAGACAAGTGCAGATTTATTGGTTATCATTCCATTGGCTGTAAATTTTAATGCTGCTATCAACTTCTGAAAAACAGCTAATTCTTAAGCAATCCTTTCCCCCTTTCTCACCAATACCAATACCAACCACACATTTTATGACAAATACATTCCTGCAATTAGGTCATGTTGCAAACAGTTTCTCTCTTTACTCTCTCTCTCTCTATCTCTACACACACACACACACACACACACACACACACACATATATATATATAGTAAAAAAAAAATCATTACTATATACAGCAACAGTATACCAAGTCAATTGGCCGATTATCCCGGTATAGTGGTACCCTGGTTTAAGAACAGCTTAGTTTATGAACAACTTGGATTAAGTAGGTGTTTTGGTTTGTGAACTTTGCCTTGGAAGCAGAACATGTTTTGCTTCCTGTTAAGTGTGTTCCATTTGTAAACTGAGTCCCTCGCTGCTATGGGAAAGCACACCTTGGTTTAAGAACTCTTTGGTTTAAGAACAGACTTCCAGAATGGATTAAATTCGTAAACCGAGGTACCACTGTATTCTCTATTGTTAGGCAACAACCTCCAAAGTATCTTGCAGCCCTGCTATTGTTCTTAATATTGTACTGTTCTTTATGTGCTCAACCTATGAGCACATATAAAAGATAAGTTATGACTTGACCATGTGGCAAGGAAGCATCTTCTGCACATCAGAGTGGTCAATTTATTACAACTGGAGGACACAATGTAATGACAAAATATGCTCTAAAAGGCAATCTTGTAGGTAAACTGGTTCCAAGTTGTTAAGGGCTTTATAACACCTTGAAGTTGGTCCAGTAGCAAATTGGCAACAGAGCTAGAGGACCCAATGTGCACTGCAAAATAAGCCTCCTTCTTCTTTTTTTGCAGCCTCACTGCCACATTATAGGCACGACTGTGTGTTCTTAGCAGTGTTCTTTTGGCTTCAGAGTGAGACTTGCTCCACCTGCACTCCAGTCTTCATCCGGACTGTTTTACAATCTGGAGCTCCTGAGAGTACCAAGAACTCCTTGGGCTCGAAAATGCCAGAGAGAATGCTCAGCAGTGATTGTGTCTACTGCCCATTTCCTCTCGCCATTCCATAGCGACGAGGTCTTTGACAGGATCACCTGCTTTCTCCACTGGAAAATTCCCCAGAGCATTCAGGAACATATCTGGTCCCATCAGTCTCTGAGAGCGGGCCATGTAAATGGGCTCACTACCCTTACAAGTTGAGAGGTATGGAAACCAGAAATCTACTGCTTATGTCTGAACTCCAGTTTTCAGAAAATTCATATCACTTACAAATCGGTACTGATAGTTGTAAAATATATTTAACTGGACAAATTGGAAAATATTTTTTCAAATATTAATTTTGCTAAAATATTAAAATTGGTGGATCGCATCTTAAAGGCAGATGACAGGAATTGTTATACAATATATATATTTTTGTTACATTACTAAATTGTTCTAAAACATTTTAGATACAGCTATTATATTGATCTAAGTAGCTCTAGAATGAGATATTTCAAGGGAAACAAAAATAAGTAAAGGAAATGGTAATTGGCTGCAATGTATGTAGACTTAACTGGGGCTTACTTCTTTGCAGCCTTATGTAGGGTTACACTGCAAAGGGCTGTGTAGGCAGGAAGTTTTTATGCACCCCAAGATTATAGTCTTTCCATATAAAAAGGGAATAAAGAAATTCAAAATTAGGCATACCACTGTTTGACTGGCAGATTGTAGGTAACTTCTTGCCAATGTCTTTGAGCTTCGTAGTCTCCATACATAGGTGGTTTTCCTGCCCCTTAAAAGAAAGAAAATGGATGGGAAACTATATTTATCATTTGTTAATTCATGTATAAATTAATTTTGCTCTACTAATGCCTGCAATTCAATGCTTTGCCTGGAAATTAGTATACCCTCTGTAGCAAAAGTGTGACAGGTATTTGCATGTAAGATTCTTTTACAATCAACTCTGTCAGGAAGAGAATAAGTATTAGACGTAGGATTAGATGTAGGATACATTTCCATTTTCTGAATACATCTTTTATGAGTATTCTTCTTAGTTCCCTATTCTTCCCTCCCCCCCCCCCCTTTCTTCTCTGGTCAGAAATTCTTTGTTTTTTCCTGTAACTTTTTAAAAGTCAGTACAAAATTTGCATGAGTTTCTTCTTTATTGAATACTACAGAACAAGCCAATTGTGGCAGTATCACATTAAACAATTAGGCACACAGATTATTCATTTCCTGTCGTTCCTGATTAGCTATTGAGAGCACACACTTATTTCTATGGTATTGACTCTAACTTCATGGAGATTGAAGAGTTTCTTTTAAATATAGGAAAGCTATCTATAATTCTTTCATATGATCTATGTTTGAGCGATTCACACAAACAGCAGAGAAGGACATAATCTGTCCTTTTGCAACACTAAGAGCAGACAATTGCTACAAGAAGGATATTAAGAGGAAAGGGTTTCAGATAGGCCAGTGCTTCTACAAACTTCTGTCCTCTATGGACATTTGGGAAGAGAGTTAAGAATATGTCCCAAGCAACATGTGCAATAACTTCCTTCTGCCCATTTTACCAACATAATGGATGAATACAGGGAAATAGGATTGATTCAGCAAAAGAAAACATTCACATGGCAGCAGCCCATGCTCCAGGTACAGGACACAACCAAAAGGATGGGAAACATTCCTACAAGGGTCCTACTGATTCCACAGAAAACATTAATGTCTGATGGAAATGCTTGATATTTGACCACTGCTGTCTTTTACTGCAGATCTATATCTATCACTATTATTTACAATGCTGGGAAGACTGAGAGACCTACAGAAATTACCAACCAGTGATAGCTTCTCCTAGAAGGAGTTTATGACAGTGTTCTTCTCACTACAAAACCAAAGAGGAAACTGACGTCCAAACAGCAAACAAGACCAGAATCAGTCAAAACTAGGCCCGTTAAAATTATCAACTTTGAGGCAGCAGTGAAAGTAAACAAAGCAAGGGCAAGCATTTTAGCATCTGCTGTGCTTTGTTGTTGTTGTTTTCCAAAATGAACCAAGCAGAATGCATTGGAAAAAACTGGTACCCATTTCTAATTGTTTGGGGTTTATCTGAACACATGATGCAAAAGGATATAGGTTGACGTCTCAAGGCAAAGTAGTAGTGGTGAGTAATTAAATACCAAACTGATCAGCTAAACTATTTGGTCCTTTCTTTTTAGTTTTTGCACTTTCTATTTTGCCTTGGGTTGCTATTCTGGGAAATTAGGCTGCAAAAGCACATTGTAATGAGTGAGCCTTAAACAGCATGTGTGCAGTACTGAAGCCATGGGCTGCAGGCAATGAACTGCTTCCAAAGGGGACATTTTAATTCCATACACCTTTTGCAAGGGAGACAGAAGCTGTAAAGTATAACATTTTAAAAGTTATTACTAAGCAGATCCTCAAAGCAGCATACAGTACTGCTTTATTATAGTGAACAAGATGTGCCTTTGAAGAACAAGAGGTTCCCAAATATAAAAAGTATAAAAAGTTGCCCCAAGATCAGTCAAAGACCAGAACATTCTCCATAGCTTTTGATGCAACCGATATATAGAAGCAACTAAGACTTTGGGCAGCTTGATGACACAAACATATATTTCTCTCACACACACACACACAAAATTAATTCCTCATATTAATTCATCTTCACCTTTACATTGTATTATATTATTCTTAACTATGAAAAAAATTGAACCAGTAGTGTTCAATGCCATTTCTTAGCCACATTCACTAACGCTAACTAGTTCAGCAAACCCACCTGGAAGAAAATATATGGTGAGAAAAGCAATAGCAAAGTGAAAAAAAAGCTTGATGCATCTGAAATATAGTGGACTCAGAGCAGAAGTAACCTTCCTATATCTGGTCATCCACGCCTTAAGTTGGAACTATGTTGAATTAGAACAGCTCATGTCAGCCTTTCGATCTCAGCTGCCATTGCATTGGGCAGCACCTGCGTACATTTTGAGGGTAACCAGCAAATTGGACACATAGTTGGGTTTTATGAATGAACATTTGGGGTTTTGCATCCAAGTCTTCTATGATGGTTTATGCTACTACTGTACCTATTTAGAAAACATGTAATGTGATTCATAAGCAGTTTGTATTAATACAGGCAACAGGTATAAAATGTAGCTTCTGTCTACCATCATTTCATCACCACTTTCACCTGATATATGTACAAAAGAATTGCCACCCTAGCCAATTGTAGGGGAGAGGGAGTATATCTGTCCATCATAGTGACTGATCTAACAAATTACTCAACTGCAAGGAATTGTTCCTTGTCCCCAGTGAGCATCTAACAATACATACATTAAACAAAAAGTGAGAAGGTCAGCGCTATGCATTACAATACACAAGACATACAGTACAAGTTGCAATATGCACAACTACTAACAGCTTCAACTTAACTCTCCTTTGTATGTTGAAAGTTTGTTAAAGTGTTGGCTTTTTTGTTTTTTAGTTCTTAGATGTTTCCGTCAGAATAGGACAGTAGTTGTAACTTAATATTCAGACACTACTGCATCTGGAAAGTTAATTTTGTTATACCAAAAAACATAACACATTAGACATAGCAGAATCTTAATCGCTTCCTCTTTGTTCTGTTAATTTGAACAGGTGAGGGTACAACCAGAATTAAATACCAATCTTCCCATTTTGACTTCCACATCATGTTAACTAGATTATAAGAATGTGAAGGGAGACCAGAGTTGTGCTTTTTGGACCCACCTTCCCACCACCCATGTATTGTTGGGGAAAGGCTGAAGAAAGGAGCCTGTTCTTGTGTAGGCTCCCCAAGCAACATGATCAGAAGGATTCTAAGGTGCAGGAAGAGCTTTTCATGTGTAAAGCAGGTTCCTAGAGCTGCAGCAAAGCAGGTGGGCCAGGAAGAACAGCTACTCTCACTTTCACATGAATCCTGTGAGAGGTCAACACCCAGACAGAGCTCAGGTGTTGTTTATCATAGTTGTGAAAAGAACCCAAGGTCCTAATCTTGTACTGTATAACTAAATGTTTTTCTAAATAACTACATTAGACAGCTACTGTTGTCGCTACATTTGTGTGACAACAGTAATATTTTCTTCTGTTCTCTTTTGTATTTGGCTTAGATTTATAACAAGCTTAAATGATACAGATTTCATTTTCATCAAATTGAAAGTAAACATGAAATGCTAAGAAAATAGTTATGAGTATGATGTGACGGAACAGGGAATGGGAAGATAACACTACTTTATTCTAATAGTTATAGCTATGGTTGTAGTGCTGTCAGGAAATGAAGGAAATTCTTTATTGCATTTTAGATTTTGTTTATTACATGTGAAAATTCTTCAATATGGTTGTGTACTTTTTGATGTGCTTTATTTATTGCTTATGACAACTTTTATGTTTTTAATTATATAAATAGTTCTATGCAGTGCTTTTTTCTTTAAAAATGTTTAGGGGTACTCTCATTTTCATACTCATATTGAAATACTGCCCCTCAATGAGGCCGAACTTGGATTAACAAAATGTTTACGGGTATGCATATCCCTGCATCCCCCCAGAAAAAAGCACTGCTTCTATGTTGTAAGCCGCCTTGAGCATAGTTTTAACTATGAAAAGGCAGCATACAAATAAAATAATAATGATGAAAAAGCAATAAAATACATTTTTTTAAAAAGAACAAGGCTATTCAGAGTTGAGAACATGATTATTATATACCTTTCATTTTTAACTGTTATATACTTATTTCCTTTTAAGAAACTTCTAACAGTGATTTCACTACAATAGTTCATATACATCCAGAATATTTACTACCTGAGTAAGAACCAAGGGACACAGTCCAACGGACAAGAAGGCCTAGTAATGCAGTAATTGTCATTAAGCTCCATTTTTCCATAGCTGCTTTTCCGAAATCACCTTGAAACAAGAACAGAAACAATGATGATACAAAATTCTGGCTTCTGCCCCTAAAGTTTATATACAGAGATAAATCCACAGATAGGACAGTGAGGAAATGCCGCCTTTTTGATTATGCTACTATGGGAAAGGCAAATCCAGTGAAAGCCATTACTGCATCCAGCAAAGTACCTAATCTTCAGAGCAAAGAATTCTCTAATGCTGCCAGGGATATCAGCAAAATCAAATTTTTACTCAGTCTCTGTTCACAAGGAGAATTTAGCTGGACGGATTAAATTGGCAAAAGTGCAGATGGCTATACAGTGGTACCTCGGGTTAAGTACTTAATTCGTTCCGGAGGTCCGTTCTTAACATGAAACTGTTCTTAACCTGAAGCACCACTTTAGCTAATGGGGCCTCCTGCTGCCGCCGCACCGCTAGAGCCCGATTTCTGTTCTTATCCTGAAGCAAAGTTCTTAACCTGAAGCACTATTTCTGGGTTAGCGGAGTGTGTAACCTGAAGCGTACGTAACCTGAAGCATACGTAACCCGAGGTACCACTGTAGTTCCAGGAGATGTCAAAGAAAATGTAACTTCAGCTGATCATAAATTTTGGAAGTGTAATCAAAGTAACCAATCCAATTCTACAAGCTAAACCACCACTATTATTTGGGAGAAGGTTAATAGAATAGAGCTGGACTAAAGGAATCACAGCCATGATCTAAGTTCTATGCATGTTTACTTGTATGTTCCGCTGCTGATTTACTCATGCACAGAGCAACACTTATTCTCTTGGTTTAAGCAGATAGGGAGCTATAATCCCACATGGCCAGAAAAGATTGAAAGGTCCCACAGTTTACATTTGACAATCAAACATACAAAATGGCAAGCCTGTCCCCAGATATCCCCCTTTAGTTCTGTCTCGTGCTAGGCCTTAATGTTAGTCTAGACTAGAGCATGAATAGGGAATCTGCAGGTCTCCAGGTGTTGTTGAACTCCAATTTCCATCAACTCCAACCAGCATACTCAAGGGTCAGGATTACAGGAGTTGTAGTCGAACAACCTCTGGAGGTCCACATGTTCTTCATCTGTGCTTGATAACAAGGATAATGCCTGGTTGTCAATGGTCCATGAGTCAAGCAGTGAAGAATTAAAATGACAACATGGTACAATTCACAAACCATTGTGAAAACAAAAGCAAATCCTGACCTAGAAACTCCAAGTGTTTGTTTTTCTTTTCTGAGAATCTGACAGAAGACAGAAATTATCAATGCATAAATCATGCATATCAGGAGCTGGAAAAGCTCAACCAAAATGATAAAGGGAATGGAGCAATTCCTCTCTGAGGCAAGGTTGTAACATTTAAGGGTATTTAATTTAGAGAAAATGCAAGAAAGAAGGGATATGTGTAAAATTATGCATAGTCTAGAAAAAAACAGATCAAGATATCACATATATATATCAATAATATCACATATTATTAGCACTCATGAACATCCAGTGAAACTGAATGTTAGAAGGTGCAGAACAGAAAAAAGGAAGTATTTCTCTGCATAATGCATAGTTAAACCATGGAATTCACTCCCCAAGAGGTAGTGATGTCTGCCAGCCTGGATTCCTTTAAAGGAGGATTAGAAAAATTCGTGGAGAAGGCTATCAGTGGCTGACTGCCACAACAGCTATGTTCTACCTCCACTGTTGGAGGCAGTAAGCCTTTGAATAGCACTTGCTAGCAATCACAAGTGGGATGCATGATATTGCACTCAGCTTGGGCTTGCTGGCTTCCCATAAGCATCTGGTTGGCCACTTTGAGAACAGAATGCTGGACTAGATGGGGCACTGGCGTGATCCAGCAGGCTCTTCTTCAGGAGAGTTACAGTGCAATTCTATTCATATCTACTCAGAATTCTGCTGAGGTTAACCTACACCAAAACAGAAGTCAACCGTTGGACCAAAACAGTTGGAAACTTTATCCTGTATTTTCCTGCACAATGGACATTCAAGGACTAGGTTTAATTTAATCTATCTGGGGCTCCTGATGTTCAATGGCAATAGTCAATACCATGTAATTAAGCCATAGTTTAATTCAGGTTTATAAATATTTAAAACCAAAGACTCTATTTGTCAATATTGTTTCCTCTTATTCCATGCTGCAATTGCAGGTGTGTATAGGTCCCTGCTCCTGTCAACCTAGCAGTTCAAAAGCACGTCAAAGTGCAAGTAGATAAATAGGTACTGCTCCGGCGGAAAGGTAAACGGTGTTTCCATGCGCTGCTCTGGTTCGCCAGAAGCAGCTTAGTCATGCTGGCTACATGACCCGGAAGCTGTACACCGGCTCCCTCGGCCAATAAAGCGAGACGAGCGCCGAAACCCAAGAGTCGGCCACGACCGGACGTAATGGTCAGGGGTCCCTTTACCTTTATATGTTTTAGCAATAAAAATAAAATAAGACATGGCAATGGAATTACTAAGCATAAATTACACAGCGGACATGCAATGTCTAATCTGTGAAATTGCCACTCGCATGGAAATAGGACAAACCTCTGTTGCTCTGCAGTTGTGTAGAAAGGGCTATCCCAAGAGGTTATCCCCCCCCCCGCCAAAAAAAAGTATACCCAGAAGCATTTTGGCAGACGCTTTTTCAAAAGTTCACTTGCCTACCAAAACACTCTCCACCTCCTGTCCCCGTGCGCGCGCGCGCGAGGGTAGGGGTGCTCAGTGGCTCAGCAGAG